TTAAAAGTTCTTATTTTTTGTGTAATTTTTTTAATTTATTATAAATTTAAGTTTGATAACGAAGTAATTTGTTTTTAGTTTAATAATATAACATTTTATAAAAATAATAATTAAGTATTTTGTTTGAACTCAATAATCATCTTACTTATATTTTAGATTTTTTATATTTAAAATGAGATGTTACACGAATTCAGATTTAGAGCTTTAATAAGTTGTACTTATATACAATTTACTTGTAATTTTAAATTTTAAGTAACGTGTATCAATAAACAGTATTTTATGTATGAAAAATAGTTTTTAAGAGTTTTTATCAAATATTTTATAGCACATATATATATATATATATAATTTTAAATTAAAATAAGATAATAATAAAAAGATGAAAATCTCCTGAATTAACAGATTAAACTAACGAAAACAAATCAAAAAGACCAAAAGCGAAACGAATGGTAATCCTAAACACTACCAATCTAATAAATAAAATTCAGGGATGAGTATTGATGGTAAGTGATAATTACAGGGACCCAAAGTGTAATTTACCCTCGATATTTTTGAATGACAAGATGTTAAAAGCTGACGTCACAAACTCAATTTCACTGTTCCGTCTCCCCACATCACCCCGCCGATTATTTTGATTTTATTTTGCAAGCGTAAAGTGTGACCGACTGATCGCGAAGAGTTACCGAATTGATTGTAGCAGTTGTTGATTGAGGATTCACTTGATGGAGGTAGGAGTGGGTAATTCTCCGGAAACCGGCGGAGTGGCGATGGAATTTCCGGTTTTTGACGGTGCGGAGTTGTCATCACCTCCGACTGTGCCGCCAAGACTACGCCGTAGGCTCACTGAAACGAAGTCTTCTGGTTCTCCTTCTAGCGTTGAAGAAATCGAAGCCAAGCTTCGCAATGCAGATCTTCGTCGACAGGTTAGGTTTTTGCCTTTTTATATAAGTTCCTTGAAAACTCGAATGTATTATGTATTTTTGAAATGTAGATCCGCTGTGCGAGAGCACAAGACTTTTGACGATCTGTAAGTAGCTATAAATCGATGGAAATTGATGCTTTAGAACTAAATCAAACCAAACTGTTGGGATATGTGGAACCAGTTTCTTTCTAAAAGAGCCCTTGTTACATATTTACAGGTTTGATAGTGTCCGTGTCTAGCAGGCGTGGGACTACAACACCCCGATGGTCCCTCCCAAGAACACAGGCAAAGTTGTGTGATAAGTCCCCAGAAGTTCTAGACCTGATACCATGTTAGCTAAGTCGTAGACCATGTCCCTGATACCATGTTAGGATATGTGGAACCCTTTGAATCTCTCTCTAAAAGAACCCCTATAGAGACTGGGGATGTACCGACATATATAGAGTTTTGATGGTTGGTTCTGGTCGAGTCAGGCTCCAATGCAACCCTTTATCAGAGGCTACACAGTCCCCCAAGAATGGAGGCAAAAGAGTGTGTCGAGTCCCTAGGTGGTGCTAGGCCCCGAACCTGATACCTTATAAGGGTATGTGGAACCACTTTGGATTTTTGTCTAAAAGATCCCTTGTAGAAAGAGAGGGGGTTCCTACATATACATACAAGTTTGATGGTCTTTGTGTGGCTGATGTAGGACTCCGACACAAACAGATCCAATATCCCTGTAGAGGTAGAGTCGGGGATAAGATATATGCATATCTTTCCTCTCTCCAATGGGTAGAGACTTTTTTCGTGCAAACCTTTCCTCTACCTCAAGGAGAGGAGAGACTGTTTTGTGAAGACCCCCGACTTGCAAAATATAAGTTAGAAGAAACAAGAGAGCAAACTACATGTGAGAGTGTGTAAACGTGTACACAGAAAAGGCAGCAAGGACAAATGTGAAGAAAATAAGTTAAAACAAACAAGAAAACACATAATGCAATACTAACAACTACTAGTACAAGTAAGAATAGTGTACAGTAAAACGCCACACAAGTATATACAATTGTGGACGAAAAGTAGGTAAAAATTAGGGAATTAACACAAATAGCCGTTTCAGCCATGTCTCTCCCAAAAATTTGACAAATCTACCTCTTAGCCATTTCTCTTCCAAAATTTCCAAATTGTCACTACTTTCACCACTTGCGGAAGTATTGGGACTAATTTACAGATTTGGTCCCTGTACTTGCGGACCATGTTAAAAAATTTCTTCTTTTTTTACATTTTGATCCCTTAGTAAGATGAGGAGTTGCTACTTGTGGAGGTAGTGACATTTTGGAAATTTTGGGAGAGAAATGACCGAGGTAAACGTATATGAGGCTGAAATGGCTATTTTTATTAATTTCCCTAAAAATTAAGACATTCCTTTATCTGACGTAATAGTCTTGTAACCTCATTGCCACCACCACCACCTCTCCGCTTGTCTCACTCTCTATCTTTTCCAACCTCCCGGCTCCCATCCATGTTATAGTCCTGCCCATAGTGGCGTAGTCTGCTATGGTGCTTCCCTAATACTTGAGAACAAAATTTTAAAAGATGAAACACAAACATGTAAACTTTAAAGAATAAAACTTAAGGCTATGCCGAATGCCAATGACAATTAGGCCTTCGTAAACTGTAATATTACTCCCGTGAATTGTAAAAACAACATCACGACTACTCATGCATAGTGGGTGAGCAGCTGCACAGCTTCATTTCCTATATTTTTATTTAATGAATAATTACTAGCGTTCTTACATGTCTTTGTGTGTTTTTGGGATGCAGGAATCACAAGGTATTATCAATAAAATGTCTCAGTGACTACCTTGCTTTGTAATTTGTCTTCTTGTTTCATTTTCTTTTCTTTTTGCTGCAAAACTGACATTTCAAGTGTTCTCATAGAAAATTAAGCTAAGGGAACATGTGTATAGGTTTAGTAATTAGGACTGGTTAACTTTTAAATCCTAAGTAATCTTTTGAAAAACTGGAATTTGAAATACATCTTTTCTGGACTTCTTGTTTTGTTTTACGGACTAATTATTTATTAGTATTATAATGGGGTAGTATTTAGTTTTTCTTTTGTTTATCTTTTTACTTCTATCATATCTTCCTTTTGCTTTCTAAGCTTGACTTTACCTCTGAGTTCGGTAAGGTGGCTGCTTACTTGCTTCACAAGTTGTACTGTGGATTAATCATATGAATTGTATTTAATTTTTTGGCTTGTCTTTATAATAAATTAAACAAATGAAATTAATAAAAATGGTTACTACATAATCTTTACTAGTGATAAACCAAATGCGTAGTATCCATTCTTTCTTTTGATCGTCTTCTAAAACGATTGAAAAATAATGAAGTTAGCTGAAAATTGATTTTTGTGTAGTACAATATTTGATTTGTTGGAAATCTCAAGTTCAATATAATCATTTGTGTTAAAAGGGTTCTTTTTGTGTTAATTGTGTTAAAATTGTTACTTGGTCTTTCATGCACTTAATTTTTTTTCCTCTTCTGATTGATGCCAGAAATTTTATGAGAGTTTGTCAAGTAAGGCTCGGCCAAAGCGCAGGAGCCCTCAATATGCAAATGGGCATAACCTTGGTCAACGTCTAGAGGCCAAGCTTCAAGCCGCTGAACAGAAAAGGTATTTTTCCTTGATCCGAGTTTGAATGTTTTGATAGTGCTAAACTGTTCATGGCATGTAGAAATTAAAGTAATTTTGGATTGTGCTAATGGAACTTTAGGTATTTCTTTGATCTATTTAATTCATTGGTTAACTTATAGATTGGTTCCATGGCATTTTGTTTATTATTTAACACGTGTCTTACCATTTAGCAAGTTTCGTTTGGCCAATGTACTATAAATTAGTCAAGTGATATATAATTAATAAAATACTTTATTAATTGCCTCGTTCATTTGTAGGTACAAGCAACGATCATCTTTTAAATAATCTTTTAGCATCACAAGTCAGCATGGAAAGCAATGAGCTTCTTGTTGTTGCAATTTGTAATTTTATGTTGACATTTTGTTATACCCCGGGTAATGTTAGTCAAATATAAGAGGTTGAGTACAAGTGACTAGTGCACTAGTACAAGTAAGTGATGCAAGGGTTGTAATAAGTGGGTCTATAAATAGGAGTTAGGTCATTACGAGATCATTTATCAGCTTAGTTTGTTTTGGGACAATACCTTGGGAGAGATCTAGCATCAATTCAGTTCTACTTTACTCAAATTGGTCTAATGTTCATCAATTGGTATCAGGGCAACTATTCTAGGATAATGACACCAATTCATTGGCTTAAAGGATCAATAGGATAGAAGAGAACATCGGAAAGGTACAATCAGAAATCAGATCTTTGAAGAAAGATATGCAAAACGTGAAGCATCAACTGAATAGGTTAATCAAGAGGTAGGAGGAGACATCAAGGAGACTAGTGGCTATGGGGACGAAAGAAGAGGTGCCTACCGTTATAAAAAAGGAACCTAATGAGTGGAATGGAAGATGAAGAGGTATATCACGTTGAATTGCTTAATGGAGGAAAGAAAAGATGTTGCTGTGATTTGCTTCGAGGACACATTGCAACGCTTTTGGCACGATAACAAGAGAAGATAAATCATTCAGTGGACAAAATTGAAGCATGAAACATTTGAGCATCATATCCACATCGTCGACGACCGGAAATAGGAGCCTAAGTACGGATGTGAATAGGGAAAACTTAAATTCTTTCCCTTTGTCCATTGGTGGGATGAATTCAAGAGGCTTGCCGACGAGAAACCACAATTGGGACGAGTTTTGGGGTTAGGTTACAGAAGCAATAAAGTATCTTCGCAGGGCACGTTTGTAAAGAAAATGGGGGATTATTCAATGCCTTGGGTTTTCAAGTTGAGAAGAAGAGCGGGAACAACGTGGAGATAAACCATGTGGAGTTTTTTTTTATAGAAGAGGAAAATCAGGAAGTGAAGAGTTTTTTGAAGGCCATAGTGGATATTTTAGGGGCAAAAATGATTCAATCAGAAGGGTTATCCCGAGGCTAGTTAGGCAACGTTCATCTAGAACCACTAGCGCCACCACTACCTCCACGACCGTTGGCAGTTGTCAATGTAATGCGGTTGCATTGGAGTTTTTGTTTCTTTCCACGTTGACTACAAGGTGAGTTCGGGGGCGTGTATTGTTATTCCTTGCGTAATGTTAGTCAAATATAATGGGTTGAGTGTTGGCCTTATCAAATATGCAACACATTATAGTAGCTTATCAAATTGGCAACACATTATAACAACTTATCAAATTTGCAACTCTACTGATGGGGTACTGGTTTATTATGTATTTTTTTTTATCATTTTCAGTTTTTAAGGGTGCTTTTTTGTGGACTTTCTACGTTCATGTTTGATAAAAAGATATTCCATCAATACTACTTTGTTTTCTCACATATGGAGCTATGGCTTGTTAGAATTGCTTTTTGTGAGATCCACATGGACCCCATGAAAGGGTACTTTAGGCTTAATAATAAGGAAAGGATTTAATCCCTATGTATAGGCAATTAACCAATTAAGTAGGCTTAGACAAAAAATTATTCATTAAGACAACTTAGTTTTATAGGGTTTTGAGGCAAACCATCAACCTCTAGAAAGCGGGCCAACATTTTCATTTTGTTAATGTACAACCTTCATGATATCACTTACTATTTCTTGTCCCAACCTTAGTTAGCTTTGGATTCATGTTTATTACTTGAATTAGGCCTTAGGAGGCTACACCTAGCTTTGTAAGATATTTGTGGCCAAAGGAGTATTTTATACTAAACTTTGTACTAATTCTAGCATGTTACATTGTTACTAGAGAAATTTAAAGGAAATTTTGTAGCATACTCTATTAAAATGCACTTATGTAACTTTATTTTCCAATGGACGAAATTGAGATTTTACATGGTAGGTAATACTTCTAGTCTGGCAGCTAATTGCACATATAGAGGTTGACGGTCATTTAGGAAATAGTGGTCTGCAAATAACGGCTTGGAGTAGTTGTACCGTAAACTGTGATGCTAAACACCGCAAAATGACATCTATTTGGTCTGAAATAGCGGTCGATAACAGTGCTACTTTTTTCCTGCTTTTTTTATTTTATTTTTGGGCTATTTTGTTTGAGATGTAAGTTACTTTTATTTGACCCAAAGTTTAAGACTTATATTTGACCCAAACTTTAAGACTTTTATTAGGTTAAAACTAAAATGAACTTGATAAATTCCAATTTTGTATATAAGCAACACCACTAGGATCTCGTCTCTGGACCCTACTTCAATCCACGGTTCTACCCCTTAATCGAACTCCCCTCCATCTCGAGACTCTACAAGCAACACTACTGTTTTATTTTCACCCATTATGCCATGTTCCTATTTATTGTTTTGTTTTTTCAGTTTATAAACATAATTGTATAGCTATTGTTTTCAGTTTATAAAGATAATTGTACAGCTCTGTTTTTGTTTGACCAATTTATTGTTTTGTTTTCAATGTTAGGCATCTTTATTAATTTTATTTTTATACGGAAGTAATTGCTAAGTAGTTCCGCATGTGGATTGCAATTAGCTCGTTTAGTCGTTTATGAGGTTTATAAACTCTATTACTACGTTTCTTGTGTGGTTTGAATTGTTTGACTTGATATATATTAGGCTTACAATATATGGGTTGGATTTCGGTGAGAATGAAAGTTACGATGAGAAGGGTAAGAAGGGATCTCCATCCTTGGATCAATCTTAATTGAAGATCAACAATAATGAGATGCACCGAGATGCATCGGATTAGTTCCCTTGAGAAGCGCAATTCATGGGTGGGGGTGAGATTAGAAGTGATCAAGGATCCAGATCCCTTCTTACACTTCACACTTTAACTCCTATTCTCACACAATTCTTCGTCTACAATATATTAAGTTCTATATTCCATATTTAATTTATGAACGTAATGTTTTTACTGCTATACCGCTGCTATACCATTGCGATAACCGCAATTTTTGCAATCGACTGCGTTCACTGCCTAGCTTATAGTCCCTTGTGTGATTCTTTAGAGTATTATTAAAATAATTTGTAAGGATGACCATATACCATCTTGGTACTTAGATTATTTTCGATATTTTTAGTTGTCTCTTCAACAAGTTATCAAATCTTCTTTTCGTGATATGGATTCTCTGTTGGATTTCTTTTAATAAAATTACTTTTGGAGGCATTTTGGTATTGTGACACCTAACCATTCCCTTGGCCTACTTCTTTTTTTGTCATTTACGTCTTATAATCAATTAACTGTCCAAGACTTACCGAATAAGTGATGATATGATGGTGTTTCCGTCCAAAGAAGCACTTATCTTTTTATAGCAAAAAGTACACCATACATTATTTTTTTTGGTTGGATCTTTCCTTACTTCCCATTCCCAAGCCATATCACCATTGATGCATTCTGTACCTGTATCTGATGACCAGAGTCACAATCGTAGATGCTCTTGAAGATTGACCCCCTTCTCAACTTCCCATTAATTCCTTTAGCTAAGCCCTAACAACAAAAATAAGAATAACGGTAACTAAGTTCTAACTAAGTCCAAATAAGAATTGAACAATTAAAATATTTTCCTTTCAAAGGCAAAGGCGAACACCTAGCACCTAGCAATAGTGACCACTGGTTAGGCATTGGAGGGTAAAAAAGGAGGAGGCTGAGGACTAACTACCGAAGAGGAGTTGAGGACCACAAGTTGTCAAACAATAAACATAGGGCATGAGGGAGTGAGGACCTCAATAACCTGGAGCTGAATTAGGGTTGTTGAGTGTTGAGTCAACGAGGAGATGGTGCCTAGAGTAACACTCGTGGTTGTGAAGAAGAAGATGGAGGACTGAATGAGGAGGCTGGGGCTGGGAGTATCGACGTCGAGTGAGGACTGAGGAGGACGATGATGTTGAAAGAAATTTGAAAACCTAATAAAAAGTCTAATCTAATTTGTTGATTGTTAAAAGGATATTCTTTATTGGATTAAATGATTTAAACTTTTAAACTATTAAATAAAACAAGCCCGAAAATAAAATAAAGGCCTAAGTCATTTAAATAAAAGCCCAAACAAGACCAAAACGTAAGCATCAGATTCAGAAAAGGCCCAACTGCCAATAGAAGTATTCTTGATCACTATTTTATGTTAAATATCGATGAAATAGTGGCAAATTGCACCCCTATTCTCGGGACCGCAATTTACCACCGATATTTTACCACCGCAATTTTGTATAGGAATGATAACCGAGTGCACCGGTATTGCATTGATTTTAACAACATAGTTACTAACTTTATTCATATCATTGGTATGCATGCCAACTTTGAGTTATCACAACATTCATGTGACTTTGTCGAAGGATGTAGTCGAGGATACAATCAAGTTTGTGCATTGGAAGAAGAGTAATTGCACCATTATGTCTGAATTTTGGACAAAAAGGAAAGGCCGAAGTTTGATCAACTTTTTGGGCAACTGTTCTCAAGGAATATTATTTTTGAAATCAATTGATGCATCGGAGCATGTGACAGATGCTCAATTAATTGTAAAGATGATATGAAGTGATCGAGGATGTCGGAGAGGAGAACATAGTGCATGTAACAAAATTTTTGTTTATATTAACATATTCTATATATTTGATAGATGGTTAGTAACTAATTATTTTTTACTTATAGTGGTTTGTTACCGATAATGGATTAACTTTAAAGCTGCTAGAAAGATCTTAGAAGAACAACATCCCAAGATGTTTTGGACACTATGTGTAGCACATTGTGTGAATCTTATGATAGAAAATATTGGAGAGAAAGTGATAGTTTAAGAGTGTTTTGGCCGATGCGAGAGCGGTTGTGGTTTATATCAATAACCATAGAAGGATTCTTAACATGATGTGCAAGCTCACAAAAAATATGGAATTGCACAAGCTATGTGTAATAAGGTTTGCAACACAATTCTACAAAATTCAAAACATAGATGAGAACCGGGCTCATATTCAAGTGTTATTTGTTTCGTAAGAATAGAGGAAGAGTGACTTTGTAAAGAAGGTTGGAAAGAGAATCGAGAGAATAATTGCAAAGCAATTTTGGGACAATATTTTTCTTGATTGTCAGGTTTTGGCATCTTTGATTTTGTTGTTCAATTGGTTGACACTGAGGAGAAGCCGTGCATGGGTTATACATATGATGTCGTGGAAGGAACAAAAGATCAAATCAAGAAGAACCTAATTGATACTACTGACGAGATTGATCACTAGACCTATGATTCAAGTGTGATGGAGTGACCAAGCTTTATCATCCTTAGAATGCGGGTATAATTTATAAAAAAATTATTGATATTAACTTCTAGTACATTTGCAGCTAGATATTACCTCAACCCTGCCAATATTATTCACAAGATTTTGGAGCTGAGAATGACATATATACTAAGACGAGAGCATATGAGGTCATTGATAGACTTGTGTGCGATGAAGAAAAAATGATACACCAAAGGGCCTTTGACCTAGCGGTATCATAGTCTTTTGGCCTCTTAGGAGGTCGGGGGGNGGGGGGGAGAATGATACTTTGAGATCGAAATTGAACCAATATGTCGAGTTAGAAACATAGCTAAAGTTACACCATTTAAGTATGATATATATACACCTTAACTTGTTTATGTGTTTTTATTAACTTAATATACCTATAAAACTAGACGTATGATGGCGTTCTTATGACATCGACATGCCTTTGCTCCAACAATTTGCTATCAACTTTCTAAGCCAAACTTGTAGTGCTTCATCTTAAGCGTAATTGGGGTGCATTTAATCATGTAAGTTTTCTTTGGCATAGAAGATGTACTAGTTCAAGTGAACTTTAACTCGAGTAATTTTAAAAAAAAATATCAATTTCAATTGCACTCTAAGAAGAGGCATTGTCTTTTGCAACAAAAGTTGAATCATCTCATATCCATCAGTACAATAAAAGAAAGACTAGAGAGACATTATAGATCTTTTTAAGGATAAGAGATTTTAGGATCCTATTTTCTTGAAAGATGTTAAAAATGATGATTTGTTGGTTTCAACCGACTTTGGGGTTCAAGAGTTTGTGGATGTGAGAGATGGTCTTCTTTGGTCAGACGTACGAGAGAACCAATGGGAGGTAATGGAAATGTTGGGGCATACACGAAGCAAGAGAGAGCACAATAGGGATGATGGTGATCACAATGAAGATGAAGGGAAACTAACCTAAATGAAGAAGTCAACACATTAAATGAAGTTGATTTGGATGTTGAATCTGTTGCTCACTTGCTTGCAATTAATTTGTGTTCATGAACACTTTTTCAATTTTGTTTATGCGAAACTTCTTTGTTTAAGTGGACGGTTGGATGATGAATTATTTATTTTGATTGATTAACACATAACATGTTAAGTTATGTATCTTTTATGATATATATTATGTATACGTTTCCAACTATTTATATGAACCACTATACCACCGCGATAATCGCTATTTCAAATCAGTCCTGACCGCGATTTGGTATTTTTACTGTCGTTACAGCAAAGGGAAAGAGTAATGCTAGATCCACGTATGGGCCTATACCCAGGTAGGGGCGGACCTACTAAGAAAGTAGGGGGTGCACAACCCCCACTCAATTGTCTCGTCATAATAGAATTTTTTTACTGGCTGTGATTATGCACCCGCTTAATTTGAAGGGTGCTCTTATATTTGATTTAAAACCGAATTTGAATTAAAAAGTTGAAGGGGTTGGAATGGTAGGGGCACTACTCTTTAGGTCATGGGTTTGATCCTTGTTTTTTTCAATTTTAGTTAATTGATAAAGGCAAACAAATATGCAACTGAAGTATTGAAGTCAAGACCTCAAGTCCTCAACCATAAAATGACAGACTACTACTATTTTTTATTTGCAATTGTCTCCATCTTACTTAAAGTTGTTTTTTTGTCTCATGTTAATGACAACACATGTTTATCTGAAATCAATTGAAAAATAAATAAAATTTATCACATTTAACAATTAATACTTTGTATGAGTTTTTATTTTTTTTAAATCAGTTATTATTCCTCTGTATATGCTTGCCCCACCCATGAGTAAATATTTCATAGTAGTCTCATTAGACCATACGTCTTTCTTTGTATATAAATGCTGTCAAACATGTTTATGTAAGAAATTGATAAAATTATATCTTGTTACCAGAAAACCAAAAAAGTCCCCCTATGCATGGAATTCGGCCAAAAACATGTCGGGCGTAAGATGTAGTCTTGCATCTTGCTGAAAAGGTCAAGATCGATTCTATCTGTAAAGATGTATTATATCAAACCGACACAATTGAATTTCCCCCGGATCAAATCGTGTTGACTTTTTACCAGGGACCATGACTTTGTAGGCCTTTGATCGATCTTAAAGGTGCACTTGCTCAGTAAAATTCTTGGGTCTGCCACTGTACCCAGATAAGTTTAGTTTTAGAATTAATTAATTGAAATGGTAACTTTAGTATTTCCTTAGTTAAGAAACTCTACAAATAGGGTTTAGGAGAAATAAGATATTATGCTTGATTTAAAGAGATTAAACCATGCATCATAGGAGAGACAGTTGCCTCTCAAAGCGGGACAATTTTGTGTTTTGATTCCTGTTGCTTGTTATCGATACATTGTTCTTGGTTCCCTATTATTAAGCCGGCCAAGATTAATAGAATGCAGATTCTCAAGGCCCACAGCCAACGGAGGGCCACATTAAGGGAGAAGACATATCAGTCGCTATTAAGAAGGAATGCTCTTCAGAGCAAGTACAAGGAGCACCTTCATGCTGCAATTTACCAAAAGCGTGCGACAGCTGAAAAGAACAGAGTGGAACTACTGGGAACTGACAAAGAAAAAACACATGCTAGGCGTTTACAGGCAAGGAAGGTAGCCAAGTCAGTCTCACAACAGCAAGAGACTGAAAGTCTGAAATTGAGGGAGAGTTTGGAAGATAAATTGCAAAGAGTATGCATGTGTTTTTATTTGCGAACAATCTTCAATACTATTTTTCTAGCATTGTTGCACCTCGTTAAGAATTGAATCTTTGACTTATTCTCTTGAATGTACTCGTCTACAGGCAAAGAGACGGAGAGCAGCCTACCTAATGGAGAAAGTAAGCTTACATAATTCTGTAGGTGTTAATTGGAATGAAAAGACGCAGAAGCAAGCTGACCATCTTTCTAGAAATTTGTTGAGGTATAGATCCATATAAAAATATTTTAGCCTTTGTGTGACGTACAGAGGAACTTGGTGATATGATGACAATTGTGTTGAATGCAAGTAATGAGTGTTGGCTTTTGAAAACTAAAACTGTTCCTAATTTCACTATATATATGAAGGATAACATACGTTTATTTTCTTTTGTTGTTGAAATTAAAAATAATTTCTTTATTTTGATAGATGCTGGAGAAAGTTCCTGAAGCAGAGGACAACCTTAGATCTGGCGAGAAGCTACCATGATCTGAATATTAATGCCAGTCATGGGAAATCAATACCGTTTGAGAATTTTGCAATTTTGATTGAAACATCCTCTACACTTCGGACTACAAAAGTTTTACTTGACCGGCTCGAGACTCGTTACAGAGTGTTGCTGGCCGTTGCATCTGGAACCATTTCCCCTGGCCAGGAGGACATCGATCACCTTCTTACACGAGTTACTTTGCCAAATGGGGCTACTCCTCGGAGCCCTGTCCGTACCAGATATGTAAAGAAAGCAGAGTCTGCTAGAGCAGCCACCAAAGCACCTGTTAAGTTATCAAGGTACCAAGTCAGAGTTGTGCTAAGTGCCTACATGATTCTGGGTCATCCTAATGCAGTTTTTAGTGGTCAAGGGGTGCGTGAGACCGCTTTAGCAAAGTCTGCCAAGAAGTTCGTTCAAGAATTTGAGTTGTTAATTGACATAATACTAGATGGACCTTCACAGAGGTCTGGTGAAGAATCCAACCCCGCATCGGCTAGAAGTTGCACCTTCAGGTCTCAGCTTGCAGCTTTTGATACCGCATGGTGCTCCTACTTGAATAGCTTTGTTGTATGGAAGGTTAAGGATGTAGAGTCTTTAGAGAATGATTTGGTGAGGGCTGCCTGCCAGATGGAAATCTCTATCATGCAAAAATACAAGCCAACGACTGAAGGAGATGACAATGCACTTACACATGATGTGAAAGTTTTTCAGAAACAGGTTCTACTATTTGCTTTGTTCCTAAAAAAATGTTAATACCAAATGGATTGCATTGAATAACCTTGCTTAATGGGTATTGGGCTCTTCAGATGCAGGTTACAGAACATCAGAAACTGTTGAGGGAAAAGGTAATGCACCTGAGCGGAGAGGCTGGTATAGAGCGTATGCAGAATGCTCTTTCCGACACACGAAAAAAGTACTTTCAATCAAAGGAGCATTGTAGTCCTGCTGACTCACCAGTCGCACATATACCATCTCCTTGCGTGCCGACTTCTCTGCCCATGGCTGGCCCAGATGAAAGAAGTGATAGTGTAGTTCAGTCGCTATCCAATGATACCGATACCATGCTACCGCTTGAAGACCTTGGCTCCTCTGTTGCTAGCAATTCAGGTCTGGTAAACGATTCTGGTGAGATGCTGGGAATGGAGAATGTGTTCATTGTGAATGAATTTCTTCATGGGCGGCATTATTCTGTTGCTGACAGTTCGAACATCAGTGATGAAAACCAAAAGGTAGTCAAGGTTGGCTTTAGATACAATTATACAAGCACCTATTGATTTGTTTTCCTTTCTTCATTCCCATAATCTGTCTTAACAAGACAAATGAGAACCCCCAGTGGGTGATCACAACTACAGTACCTTCACCATAGAGTGGGAGACCCAGGGGCGAGCCTCTTGGTGCTATCACCTTTTGTTGTAGGCCATATCAATTTCAACTTTGGCCAGTTTCAGTGTATGTGGTAGTGGACTCGTACCATGGGCTTATTCGGCCAAAGGTCAAACACTAAAATAAAGAAGATTGAAGCTCCACCTTTGCTGGCCACAGGTACGCGAGACAATGGAAAAAGCTTTCTGGGATGGCATCTCAGATTCTATACAACAGGAAAAGTACGATCACATTGTAGTGTTGATGAAGGAGGTGAGGGATGAGCTTTACGAGATGTCTCCTAAGAGCTGGAAACCAAAGATTACTGAAGTTATTGATCTTGATATTCTTTCCCAGGTAGGCTACTCACCAACATATCAACCGCCAAGATTTCTTTATTTGTTTGGTTACTTACTAAATTGCTGAACAGATTTTTTTTCGTTTTCTTCCCAGTTGCTGAGTTCCCACCGTTTGGACATGGAATATCTTGGAACGATCATGGAGTTTGCGTTAGTCAGTTTGCAGAAGCTTTCAGCTGTAGCACATGAAAACCAACTTAAAGAATCTCATAAGAAAGTGGTTTTGGAACTATCCGAGTTATGTCAAGCTGGAGATGGATCAAACAGTTCACATGCAATAGCTTTGATGAAAGGTTTGCGGTTTGTACTGGAGCAGATACAGGTGCCATTTTATCTTCTTGTTGCTTTGCAAGATTGTAATATTGCTTTACACTATGCACATTTTCAGTATGCAATACTGTTTCCTCGTCAGGTGCTCAAGCAAGAAATTAGCAAGGCACGAATGAAGATCCTGGAACCGTTGCTGAAAGGACCCACGGGTTTGGAGTACTTAGGAAAAGCTTTTGTAAAGCTCTATGGTCCACCATCTGATGCCTTGAATCGCCTTCCAATGACCATGCAGTGGCTTTCATCCGTGGTTCCTGGCAAAGATCAGGAATGGATTGAATACAAGAGGGCAATTTTAGAGTTGCAAGAAGGTTCGTCTTCAGAAAGGCCTGTTATCCCGTCCACTGCCCTTAGGACTGGTGGAAGCTTCTCATCTAGTAGATTGCAAGCTTCAGCCGGTATGAATGTCACTGATATAGCAGGTTAACTAACATCCAACTATTATTGGTTAAAAATTTAATGCCATTGATTGTGGTTTTTATTCCTGATTACCTGTTATATCACCTACTCCTTCCGTCCCAAAATATATACCCCACAATAAAAAAGGCACACGGTTTTATAGGTATGTAATTATTACACTTTTTAGTTAACTAAGGGGCCGTTTACCAAATGCTTACTTGGCTAAGTGAACACCAAGTCACAATACCTTACTGGACGAATATGGTAAGGATCAAGAATCTTACCCGGTAAGAGCGAGACAAGGACCAAGAGTCTTACCCGGTAAGTGAAGGCAACGACTCATACCACGGTAAGTGCTTACCGGGTAAGTTGTTGCATACGATACCGTTTTTGTGGACTAAAATTTTACCCGGTAAGTAAATGGTAGTGTTAAATTTCACTAGTGTCTGGTGAACGGCCCCTAAATGACAATTTTACTCTTAATAGTAAAGGAAGTAATGAATTTCTCTATCTAATAATTATGGGTAGAATTGGAAAGTTGACACTTATTATGGGACAAGCTAAAATAGAAATGTGGAAACTTCTTTTCATACAAATTAAAATAGAAACGTAGACTGGGGTATTTGGTTCGATGGAATAGTTTTGAAGGATTTGGAATTGGAGGGATTTGGAATCTTTTGGCGTGTTTGGTTTGTAGGATTTGAAATGAGATTGAATTTCATTCTTTATAAATAATTATAAAAATAATTGAATTACTTTTTTATTTATTGATTGTTGCAAAAGAAATGTTTTTAACATATTTTAGAACATTATTACATACAAATCCCGTGAAATACCAATCACTCCCGTGAGATTTCAAACTCCAATATTCGTGTGGAGGGAATCTTTCAAATCAAACATGGGATTGGAATGGAATTTAATTCCAAGTCCCTCCAAATCTGATCCAATCCTGCAAACTAAACAGAACCTTAGTTTTAATACAAACCCCGTGAAATACCAACCACCCCCGTGGTATTTCAAACTCCTATATTCGTGTGGAGGGAATCTTTCAAACCAAACATGGGATTGGAATGGAATTCAATACCAAGTCCCTCCAAATCTGATCCAAACCTGCAAACTAAACAGATTCTTAGTTTTGGGACAGAGGGAGCATTTCATTTCCTGTTTGCACACACCTTTGCTTCGTGCACAAGCCGGGGGTCTTCAGGGAGACAACTTCTCAACCTTAGTGGTTGAGTAAGGCCGTGCATAAATGCTACCCCTCTCAAACCCTACTTTCAAATGGGATATTGGATTTGTTTGGTTTTGCTTGGTTTGGTTTGGTTTGTGGTTTTTATGCTTATTTTAAGGAAGACGCCGGTTTCTTATTGTTTCAGGAACCGATAATAGATGTACAGATTGCAAGGGAGAAAAAGGTGACTTGCTTGTGAGGCTAGGTCTGGTTAAGCTGGTGAACAACGTTAATGGTGTGACACAGGAGGAGTTGCCTGAAACACTAAAACTCAACTTTCTCAGGCTGCGGGCAGTTCAAGCCCAACTTCAGAAGATCACCGTAATAGCTACCAGGTACTAAAAGCTTTTATATCTCTGCCCATCTCCCACCCATTATCGTCCTTTAAAGTTTGCTCTCTTCACGCCTGCATGAAAGCATACACAGGCATCATGATGTATTTAGGTTTTATTACACACCGCCCTGCATCCGTTACATGATATTGCTTGAATTTATTCTTGCGTCAAAGCACACTACACTCTAGAGATGCTCTTAAGTTGTTCGGTAAGTTGCCTTTTAGACATAGAACACACATCTATACTTATATTATAAAGCATTTAGGTAAAACTCTTGAAAACAACTTGTTAAACTTAGGTACGAGTTATAAGTGCATAATTTCTTAAAATTCAAGCTTAAAACTCGTTACTGCATTCATACAACTTCTTAAAATGCTAGAGTTTGAACTTCATAAAACTAACGAATAATTAACTGACGAACACATAAATACATGAAAGACGTTGAACCCTACTAATACAGCAAAGTACTCGATTCTTAAAAATTGAAATAGATTGCATCCTTATTTTTAAATCTTTAAGTTATAATAAAAAATCTAACTAAACAAATTATACCAAGAATATGAGAATTTTATAATCTTAATTTGACACCCATAACAAAATATATTTTTTTCGGATTTTTTACCGAGTCTTCATATTAGCAAGAAAATTTTAATTGTCACTTGTATTTTGTACAAACATAAATTTCGGATTTTCTTTTTAATAGGAAGTTGCATTAATTTTCCATTTTTGGTTTACAATAAAATTTTACATTCCGTTGCATTGCATGGGTGCACAACTAGTGTAGATGAATGATACACCTTTCCTCCTGTCCATATGCTTGCAAAATCATATATTTCTAAAAGTTTTACAAGTCGGGTTTTTACGAAAACAGTCGCTCTATTCCTTGGATAGAGGTAAGGTCTACGTACATCTTACCCTCCCCATACCCTACTATGTGTGGGACCCATTGGGTTTGTTTGGTTTGGTTTACATGTGCAATTTTTGACGAAATCCATCCACATTTGACACAGCATCTTAGTTCTTCGACAAACACTTGTGATGGAGCAAATGATATCAAGTTTTGAGGACATGGAAAGCACAATACTCAGATGCTCCTCGCAGCTTTCCCGGATCCTTGACACAGTTGTGGATGCCGGCCTAGAACAGATTGTCCAACTTCTAAGCAAGACGGCCGAGAGGTTTGATAAATCCGACGATTCGGCCAAAACTCAGTCGAGAAGGGTTGTAATGGCAAGAACACTCAGAAAAAGCTTACAAGCTGGGGACCCAGTTTTTGTTAGGGTGTCACGAGCTGTGTATTTGGCAACGAGAGGAGTTGTACTCGCGGGGAGTGGGACCCATGGAAGAGGGTTGGCGGAGAAGGCACTCCGGCAGGTGGGTGCTGCCATTCTGACGGATAAGGTGGTGGCACGGGGGACGGTGTTGGGAGTTATGAGCAGAGTAAGTGAGAATGTTCATGGACCATGGTATGCTCGATTGATTCAGAATATGTGAAAGGAAACCATCATCATTTGTGTGCATAATTGAAGAAGGAAATGTATAAGGTTACCAATATGAAGTTCTTGTGTGGTTGATATTTGTTAGAGATATGAAAATGGATGGTCAGATAAGATCGGATACGAGATGTCAAAATGGATGGTCAGATCAGATCGGATGCGAGATATCAAAATGGACGGTCCGATAAAATTTTGATATGATGTCAAAATGGACAAATCGGATTTGATCAGATAATACAATGAAGGATTCATGGTTTGGTTTTGAAAGGAAATGTCAAATGGGTTGGTTTTGTACATAATCAAGCTCCATGCTTGGGAATATTGCATCATGTGTGTATTGTATCTTTTTTGTTATTATATATAATATATATATATATATATATATTTGATTAACCTGGATGTCCAACCCGCTATGTGAGCTGACTAATCCCAGGGCGACTACCTGCTTTGCAGATAGCCGGGAGACCGTATTTGAACCTCCGTAGCCACAAGAGGATTTTTATTCCTTCTTGGATTTAAACCTGAGACCTCCTGGTACTTTTGACCTTTGGAGTCAAGCTCAAACTAATCAGACACCACTCTTGTGGTTTTTATATATATTTTTTTGTTCATGAATTTATAAAATCATCTAATTTCATAAAAGATATAGTTTTTTTATGATATGTTTTCTAAAGTAAGGTTTTTTGAAATAAGAAATAAAACAGATTTGGTTGTAATTTCCATCACAATTCAATGAGTGAGCAACTGGTAAACATTCGTAAGTTGTGGATTTAAGTGCAATATGGTAGTTCCATTTGTGGCATTACCAATTCAAACGTTAAAGTAAATCTCAAATATAAAATAGAACTTATTTGATTTAACGATTCAAACTTTGTAACACGAATATTTGACTCGGCTCATCCAAAAACTCAAATATCATTCAAGATTACACCAGAATCGTTTAGGATTATACAACCAAAACATAAAAATTTAAAAGGTCGCTAATGAATCTCGAGTTTAACCCTATAACGAGTTCATAAAGCTTGAGATTTAGGTCATATAATGTGTGGTTTAAATTATTAAACAAGCATTAACTAGGAGCACTATTTTGAAAAAAGTATATATATATATATATATATATATATATATATATATATATATATATATCCAAAGTCGAGTTGAGCTCAAGCCTCATATCTATACTGTAAATGTAAGCATGCTAATCGGTTTTGTGTTGAAAATTAAGAGGTATCTATTTCTTTGTATAATGTACAAGCTTCAGAGCAGATATCCTGAATTGTTTGCCCACGTCCCCCTCCTCCCACGTGTTATCTCCCACGTCCCGCCCTAATCTCTCTCCCCTCTCACCACGTCCGGCCTAGTATTACTCATATTGAGGGCACTCATATTGTATGGCTATTTGATTCCAATTTCTTTTTTATGTGTCCATTTAAGTATAAGTAGTCAAGTTCTTACTCATAAACTTTGATCACCAGCTTTTCAATGAAAAGTTGGTCGAATCTTGGACATCAAACTTGAACGACAAACTCAACTCCATCATTGGGACTTTGACTTTTAATAAGATGGAGTTCAGGAAATGCTCGATTGAAGATTTTTCTTACGGGGTGATGTAGTTGAGATCGCTCAGGAAATGCTCGATTGAAGAATTTTCTTATTGATGTCAAGATAGTCTTCAGTTTATATAGAATCTTGGTGTTACTGCTATAAAAGGTTTCAATAGCGATGATAGATTGAAGAACAAAATGTGGCTTCATGAATCAAATGCATGAAATATGATACACAGTCATACCAGTTGAAAATAGAGAAGAAATAAGCAGCCATAAACTCAAATATGATGCAGAATCCCCTGAAGAAGTGACATTTTTTTATTGCAGCCCAAGAGTTTGGATTTCGATTTTGCAGAAGAACCCAATCTTCAGTGTTTGTTGGATGGTGTTGATTCTCTTCATGATGGTAATGTGGAATTTAGACATGATAAAACCAAAGATGTATCGGGTAGTGATGGCCAAATCGGTCAGGCCCGGGACCGGCAAAGGACCGGTTATGAGACCGAAAACCGGGACCCGTTGGGGTTTTTGGTAGTTTCGTGGGACCAGCTATGGACGGCCTGGCCCGGCCCGGACCGGCCCGAAAATTCAAATAATTTTATAAATAAATTTATTTAAATAATTCTATAATATGTTTTTATAAGACAATGTAATTTTAATTATATTAAAACGCATTTTTAAAGTGTATTTGAGTGACCCAATTGTAAATTTTATAATGTATTAAAAATATATATCATTAAAAAATTAAAAAAAATCTTATTTTTTAATGCCGGGACCGACCAACGGCCCATAACCGATCATGAAGTACCTCGACCGGTCCTACCATTTTCGATCGGGACCAGTTATGAGAAAGCTTAAGACCGATTAGGCCCGGCCCGGCCCGGTTTTTGGCCATCACTAGTATCAGGGGTTGTGATAACCTCAATTGTTGGTGCTGTTATTCATCTAAATGACGATAGAAAGGTAAGTGGATCCATTTAATTCAAAATGTTGTTCTATTTGTAGAAGAATGCCTTGGCCTACCATTATATTTTTCTTCTGGATTATGTCTTCTTACAATTTTTTTTTGTTAATCATTTGATCTTCATTATATAGATTTAATTAATTTTCTTGCTTGTGGTTATGGTGAATGAAATGCTCAGGCTCCTTTGCGTTTTGCTGTGGAACTTCTAAACATTGTCATTTGTGATCCTATGGTGAAATTTCATCTACTTCACCAACATCTTAATTTACTTTAAGCATCAACTGCTTCACTTTTTTCTTTGCTGCAAGAGTGTAAACAGGCATTCAGTTAATGTAAACAGACTATAAAAAGCCATTCAGTTAATGCACACAAGCATATTCAATTAAAAAAAATTCATATTCTTTGCTACTCCATCTTTAAGTTATTACTGTTTCCTCTTATAAGATACATTTAAGTCTTACATTTATTTATATTATTGTTTAGAATTCATTTTTATAAAGCTTTACCCTTCAAAATTATGTTTTTATTCATATTTGTTACATTCGTATTTGTTAGATTGACTGCATCAAATTAGTTGCAAAATGAACATCAAATTAGGGTATATGGAAATAAGAGTTCTTCAAGTTCTTATTTTGTGTTCATCTTTCTTCTCCATTTTCACTTCTGGGTTAGGGTTAATCGTGTCTCCATTGATCAATTTGCTTTTGAGGATTTACATTCTCAAACAGATGAATGTTTTTATCTGATATGTGTTTTTGCCAAGAACCTTCATGATGATGCTTATAGTGGTTTCAAATTCTTTAATTGGATATGCTTGTGTGCATTAACTGAATGGCTTTTGCAACCTGTTTACATTAACCGAATGCCTGTTTACACTCTTGCAGCGCCATTCTAATATTATCTCCTTATATGTTTTGCTTAACGCTTGATCACATTTGAGTTTGTTGAGTTTTCATTTGAACCCATTCCCCTCTTCAAGATTATGTATGAGGATTTACATTCTCAAGCAGATGAATGTTCCTTTTGATACGTGTTTTTGCCAAGAACCCTTCTGTTACAAGAAGGTTTTGCCTTTTTTTGGTAATTGTTGACACATGGTTTGTTTCACCAAATACGTAAGCTTGAAGATTGATGACCGAGAAAGATTCACGGGTTTGTTTCACCTAATACATAAGCTTGAAGATTGATGATTGAGAACGATTCACGGGTTTGTTGAAAATGAACTTTGCATCTTGTAATATGTAATTTACATGTTCTTCATGATGATGCGATGCTTTTAATGGTTTCAAATTCTTTAATTGAATATGCTTGTGTGCATTAACTGAAGGGCTTTTGCAACCTTTTGATTTGAGTTTTAGAACAAGCATACATTAACTCAATGCCTGTTTACACTCTTGCAGCACCGTGTATGTTTTGTTTACACTCTTGCAGCACCATGTATGTTCTGTTTACATCCTTGCAACACATTAACTGAATGTCTATTTTGGAACAAGTATACTATCCCCTTGTATGTTCTGCTTGAGGCATGACCACATTTGAGTTTGTTCTGCCATAAACACTGAGCTGAGATATCGTCTTTGATATCTTGTCTCCTCCATGATAAGCTTGCAGATGCAAGAGAAATGTCTTGATGATTGTTTCATGTCGATAACGAATTGTAAAATTGGGGCAAAAAGGGTACGAGAAATCGTATTTGAATAATAAGCGGATATGTCATAGCCCATCCTATTAGTAAACGACCCCTTGGTTCTGTTTTGAAGAGAGAGAATTAGAAACCAACTGATTGCTTTCATCAAGAAAACTTGATAGTTTGCAGTGATCAAGCCATGTGTTTTTATGGTCTTGCTCTTCAAGAATCAATTCTTGTTTTTGTTGGTGTTGCTACCTATATGTTCTTCTTCTTGTTAACACTGCGCCTGTTCTACTGCTCAATATATGTGTATACTGCCCTTTTTCTTATCGGAGTTCTGGTAGGTTTCTATGCTTTCCTGCATCTTGAAATTCTCTCTTTGTTAAATATTACCATTTTTTTCATCACATATCATATATATATATATATATATATATATATATATATATATATTTTATGATTAGCAAATTAGAACAAAAAATATGAACGTCATTGAGGATCGTTTACATTAACGCCTCACGCAACATCGCTATTTGTTTTTGTTTTACTTATTTAAAACTTACCACTTTTACTTACCAGTTTATTTGGACAGTTTCTTACTTTGAGAAAATATATATGGTCTTGCTTTGTTGTTTGTTTTATCTAAGACAACGTTTTACCGTTGTTGTTAGTATTTAGTATTTACTAATGTATGTATACATACCTAATCCAATGGGTCGTTTCAATAACAGCTACTACAAATCAAAGCACTGCTTTACCAGATATGTTGAGTATCATCGGTGAGTCTTCTAACCTGCTACCAATCACAACACACTTGAAAACTTCTATTTTTGTTTGGGACTTTCTAAAGTTTGCACAATACTAACGGTCACTTCGCACAGGCGAATGGATATGCACACTTTCTTGGCGTATAAAAACATATGTAGATGATAAAACTATGCATATCTCCCTACATAAGGAAAGTGTAAACGGCTTTATTTTGTTTATCAACAATTCAACATTGATGAAGTGCTTTGCTATCAATTTAGTTGTCGGAATAACTTACATACTCACTACATAACACATCCTATATGGGATGTCCTAACAGAATGCTAATACGTCCCACCTTTTGGGAATACTGTAAAGCTAAGCTACGATATACCCAAATAGCAACCAGCATGATAGTAGTGGTAATTGATTTGGTATAAAATACGTACTTTAAATTGAAATTTAGGAGATAAACAAAAGAGTATTTAGGCATGTGATTACTAAATTACTTCCTAATAATTTGCATGTAATGTCTAATGTTGCAATTATTATTGGACTGAAGGTGTGGGCACAGGGTATTACTTCATACTTGTATAAGTAATATTTTTTTATCACATTCTATTCTCTTGTGCCTTGGTCAGTTTTTTGGTCTGGTTAACTGTCCTTTCATAGTATATGTGTGTTTCTGAGGGATTTCTTTTGGGGTAGGCATAAAGATGGTCTGCACCTTTAATTGCTTATGATTCTGTTGACTCTGAGCTCTTTGTGCAGTTTTATATGTTATAGGGTGTGAGGGTATAAGCCAGACCTACAGATGGATTATATTTGGTTTACATGCTTATGACAGCCTCTCGAGTTATTTTTGTTGCCCGTATGCAGCCAAAGGATTTTGGCTATGAAATGCATTAGATTGATTTATTTAGGAAAATGATGTGGATTATAAGGCTTACCTCTATATTTTCGGTGCATCAGATCAGGTCGGAATGATCTGCATATTGTTCTCCATTCTTTTGATTTGGATTTGGTTAGATCAAAGATCAACCTTTGTCCAAATTGCAAATCCCTTTGGATGCAGGTTTGGTTTATTTTGATCAGATCTGTTAGTGTTTTCTTGTTGCTATTCTGATTTGTTTTTTTTAGACTGTCTTTCTCCTAATTTTCCCATCTTCTGGCCAGGGTTAGAAATAAACATGCCAACTTCAAGGATGTTGAACAAATGTGCACTCCCCAACACTATTCAAAAGTCTAAAGTGAAATGTGTGAAAGAAAAAGACGATCACATGCTTCCAGCCTTTTGGGTTCTCAAGACTCCTATTCAGATTTTCGTGATACACAGATGACTATTCAGGTTTCTTTCTCCCCTTTCGCTGATAAACCACCAGACTCATTGCTAACACCGTCCATCTTCCAGCATGGTTTTTCTCAGTATTTGAATCGACGTCACCCGTTTTACCTTCATCTGACAAGAGTGTTTTTCATCCCCTATCTTCCACTCAACTTCACTCTTGCTTGTGTTTTCCATCCTTGTGCTACTGTACTTACTCATTTGCAGTACAACAATGGTACCCTTTCTCCTTCAAGTGATTTTCTTGAATTAAATATGCTATAAAATCTGATGACCATCTTTCTTTTTATTGTTGTAGTGTTTTCTTTCACCAATCTGAATGTATTTGATGAGTTTAATGGAAAACTTAATGAAGAAACAAACAGTAAATTTAAAATGGTCGTTTTTGTTGTTCGTTAGTTCAATCAACACACCAAATAAGCAATAATTTATCTAAATAAGGCTTGGGGACCTCGTTCACGGTTTTCTCCTAGGTTGGGGATTTCTTGAAAAACTGGAATTGTGGCCGGGGTTTCACGATATGTAGAAAACCACGGTGGGGTAATGTATTCCCCAACACACCATGTCCCCTCACGGAAGGGAGATAGGCCCAGCAAAAAGCGAGGAGGGGATTTGGTTCTCTGTACCCGTCGAAACTGAGGGCGAGACATGGTAGTCAAACCAAAGATTGCTTGTTGTACTCGCTTAAGCTTAAACCTAAACCATACAAACGATATATATTCTAAGATACTTCTTAAATTGGAATATTTATCAAAAACATTAGTTCATTCACCACTAAATCCTAAAGATAGTTAAGTTAGTAGGGGTAAACGCTTACCTGTAAGAGTCAACACCCTCGATTACATTACATGTAAGATTTTAGTCCATCAAGATGGCACTATATGCAACAATTTACTCGCACTATATGTAAGATTTCTCTATTTACAATGAAGCTATACATCCCGTCGCATTGCACGTGCACACAACTAGTTGCATGAAAATACACATAAATTTGGTTTGATTCCTATTTTGTGTAACATACTTCAATAACGTTCATTGTGGTACCTCAACTATGATATCTCTAATATTTAAATATCTGGTTTACATATAAAATACATGAAAATACATGAAAATACAATATACTTAAGAACCGATCTTTGTGATTTACGAAAGGTATTGAATAATTTTTTTCTCGTAATATAGTAACATTGTGCGTACATTCTTGCTTCCGTTCTACGTCACCGTTCTTAATCTACCATGATCGACAGAAACCCTCATTAGACAAAAAGCTCTATTCATAACCAAAGATACTCATAAAAACAACCAAACTACCTAACTATCAAGAAACCGAATCCATCTATCTTGAACATAGAGGCATGATAATCATCCAATCCAGTTAAACCGACCAATCATAATTGAATATCCAATCCAAAATTTCAACATCTAAATTGGATTAATTGATTCTTAGATGATAGTCTGGAATCCAATAAAATTGAACCGATCCAACCCAATGACCATCTAATTATCATTCAATCAATCAATACATACAACTAATAATATTTTATAAAACTGTTTTCAGTTGATATTTGTATAAGGGGCCATTTACTAAACGCTTACCCGGTAAGTACTTATCGGGTAATTTTCCTCACCGGATGAACATGACAAAGGCCAAAAATCTTACCCGGTAAGAGCGATGATAAGGATGGAGAGTCTTACCCGGTAAGTGATGGTGACAACTCTTACCCGGATAAGCGCTTACCAGGTAAATTGTTGTATAGGATACTTTTTGATGTACTACAATCTTACCCAATGAAAATAAATTATAGTGTTGACTCCTAACATTACACACTTACCGGGTAAGCATTTAGGTAAACGGCCCCTAAGTCTTCTTTTAAGAATTACAAAAAACATATGAATAACTGGTTGAAAATTAGATCCAAATATTGGATGAATCCGATCCCATCAAAAAGGACACCAATAGTAATATCCAATGAATGGAACCTATCTGATCCAATCATCTATTGGATTGGATCGGACGACAAAATCCAACATCCAATAATTGGATCGGATCAAATTCACCTAAATCCATTGGATTTCAATACATAATACCCACACATATGATGTTTACTACCTAGAGCACTAATCCCTTGGACCATGCTACTTCCCCACTTGTTTAAATTTTCTTTTTGCAAGGGGTAGAGGTAAGTCTACATATATCCTACCCTCCCTAGACCCTATCTCCATCTGTATCAGATATATTGAGTTCATCAAGTTTTATTTTAACACCATAATTAAGGTCCAAATCAATACCCAAGTTTTAAACACTATCCTTCCAACTTCAGACTCTCTTCCCCCACAAAACAAGGTGTTAGTTCCATCTGTAATAGATTACCTAATAGCAGCTGAACATGAGCTGCTATATTGTACCCTCTACCCATTCTGCCTGAATTGACCCTTGTGCTGAATAAAGAAAACAAGGTATATTGATTTATATAACGAGCGTAAATGTATATATCATGGGAAGTAAACCTCTAAGCCAATATGTACAGCAGCCGTCATACCAATTGAACTACCAACTACTGAAGAGAGATCCAATTTGTATGCAAAGCTAATCTTATGGATGGGTCGTCATCATGTGTTCTTTTATCCTAATGGATTAAGTAGCCTCTGTATACATCATACAATATAGTGTACAAACTTTCAACGAGAAAGAGAGCGTGTGTAACATAAACTTCATTGATCGGTGTCTGACCTGCAGCTTGCAATCTCAGTCAGAATTGGTTGCCCGCCAATCGCCTGACACGTCGTCTGAGCACCAATCTATGGCAGATGCCTACCAAACATAGAATTACCACTAGTGCTATAGCACAAAGATCAAACAACCGCCTCACCCCTAAACTCCCTGCAAAAAGAACATCTATTGCTTCAAACCATGAATCCATAGAGTCATGTTTTATTCTAACTTCTCTAGTGCATATGTCCTTGCAAATACAGGGTTTAAGAATATACTAATGTCCTAAGCTGCAACAGTACAAATGGAAAGTTGGAAGGTTGTTCTGGGTACATCTTTTCTTTTGTTGAATTAAAAGTCTATCACAACTCATTCGACAACTGCTATATTTTTCAGGTAGTCATATTTTCCTTTCTAGGCCTTGCAATAACTATATTCAGTCTTTTTAAAAATTCAAATCCATTTTGGTAAACATTTTACGCCGTTAAAATCATTTTCATATATATGTGTCAAAAATTAATCATTGCAGAAAATGTGATCTCTCCCAAAAAACAAAAACAAAGCAAGAGTGTTTTTTTGGGATACCTTATGCTTCTCAATAAGCACTACCAGAAGGGTAACATATAGTGTTGGGTAGATAGAGTAGTTCTTTTACCATTCTGCATAAATTGCTTTTCAAAAAGAACCACACACTCACACCATCTCTACCTAGCAGCTAGCAATGTGATTATGTAAATAACCAAGGCTAATTCTCAAGATGGCAAGACCAAAAGATAACGTTGATGACAGGTTCTTGAGAACAATGTAGCGTTGTTCTTTTTGTGGAACTACATATCCGTTCATCCCATAAAGCAAACTGAGGCAATCCTCTCAGAGCTGCAACAGTTTGCTAGTAGTATGAATGTACAAATATGGTTTGATGTTATTAGCAGAAGTTATGTAGTTGTAGACGGAACTTCATGTGTGATTCACGAGGTTCGTTTGTTTTGACTAGATGTAGATGAAACATACCTGTTGGAATGAAGTCGAAGGAACTGACATTATATATACAACTCATTAACAACTGCAATCAGAAAAGATTAACACTATTAACATTTAGCAAAAAGCCGATAAACAAATATATATTGTCAATCTTAAACAACAGTAAGCACAATTTATGCAACTAAGCAAAGACTATCACGTCAAATATACTGGTCAAAAGTGGCGTCATTTCAACTTTGAGGGTGCAATGACCGGTTCAAAAACAGAAGAGCTTTAAAATAGAAAAGTTGCAAGTAGCATGGAACATGCCAAGTTTTAGTTGAAGTTGTAAGCAAATTTTGTTATTCCTATCTTGTAGTTTGTTGAAGGCTACCATATATCCATCGGAACTGGTGAGGCAATGCATGTAAAAGGGATATATTGAGGAGTTCAACTGGTGAGACAATGCATGTAAAAGGGATATATTGAGGAGTTCGAGTGTATAGGCACTTACCGGGTAAAAGATGCTTACCAACAATCCTTTTTGATGGCCGAGAATGTTACTTGATAAGTTAAGTGAGGGTGGTGACTCTTGCCCGTAAGCGCTTACCCGGTAGGCGTTTGGTAAACGGCCGCTTTCCGCAACACAAAATGATCACTCAGCTGAGAGGATTTTTGGGTATGATGGACCATTAACGCAAGTTCGTGGCAGGGTATCATAAGATTGCATGACCATTGATAAATAAGTTTCAGTGGAGCAAGCAAGAAAATGAAGCGTTGAAGAAGCAAAGGCGACGACACCCATGTTAGCATTACCCAATTTTTCTCAGCCACTTTTTATAGATGGATGCTTTGGGAGGAGAAATGGGGATGTGTTGGTGCAAAAGGACAGACCTATTGCATTTCACAATCAAGTGCTGGTAGTGAGGGAATGTCAAAAGCCCATTTACGAAAAAGAATTGCTGGCTATTCTGCTTGCGATACTCAAATGGCGACCTTACTTGTTGGGATGGTGATTTATAGTGCGGACGGATCAACAACGCTTGATGTTTGAGGGGATGGGAAGAGATTACAAAGGATTTCGTCAAGGGGTTGCCATGTTTGAGGGGCTTGACTCAATTATGATTGTGGTGGGTCAGTTGACTAGATATGCGCATTTCATTGCTCTAAAGCATCCATTTCATGTGATGGATCAGTTGACTAGATATGCGCATTTTGTTCCTTAGTGTATTATCACCATCGTGGTAGAATATTTTTTGATGCTTTCTGGCAGCAGATCTTTAAACTACAAGGGATACAGTGTTGTTTCTCAACAACATATTATCCATAATCGGACGGCCAATCAGAGATGGTTAATAGATGCGTTGAGTATTAGCTCCGGTGTTTTGAGTCTAATTGTCCACAACATTGAAAATGATGGCTGTCGTGGGCGGCATTGTCACAGCTCTATAAGATGTTCCCCATTTAAGGCTCTGTCTGGACGAGTTCCTCCTACTATCTTGAAGTATTCAGACTACTAAACTGTAGGCGGTTGATGAAATATTGAGAGAAACAAATGTACTATTAGATGAGTTGCATTTTCAGCTATTATGAGATCAGCATAGCATGAAAATGCAGGCAGACAAGTATCGATAGAGGTTAATTTTGAAGTGGGTGGCAAGGCATTCCTCAAGCTGCGACCTTATCGTCAAAAAACCCTACAGGCTAGCAAGAATCAGAAGCTGGAAATGTGGTTCTATGGGCCATTTAAGATAGAAACGCAGGTTGGAATGGTATATCATAGGCCCAAGCTGCCACAATCTGCATGTATTTTCATCCCCTTTTTCATGTTTAACAACTCAGTAAGGCTGTTGGGTCGAGTTTGTCTTCCCCAACAATACCTAATCAAGTAAATGAGGACGGGGAGTTCGAGGGGGAACCGGATTTGTTGCAATGTCATTCCAAGGCTACAGGAACCCTTGAGATACTGATCAAGTGGAAAATTTTGCCCTTGGTGGGATCGATATGTCGATAGATTTTGACAGCATGGATACCTTGAGGACAAGGTGAAAGTGTGGCAGGCGGGGTATGAAGTGTATTCCAGGAGGAAGAGATCTTAGGGGAGAGTGGTATTTTAAATTGTGAACGTTAGCAGTTAGTTGGAGTGAGAAGCGGTCAGTCAGGGGTGTGGGCAAGTGGTTCATAAAAAGAGGAAGAGTAGTTAATGGTATCGAATTTGTGCAACTGAAATAGTAGAGTTGCCAACCTTTCAATGTTGGTAGAAGTCAATATATTCAATAGTAATTCCATAAAAAATTTGCCCTTGTTGGTGAATGGCAATTGGAAGTTATCATTCTGCTGCAACCCCAGTGGTGCAATTAGGGATGAAATCGGCAAACAAAAACCCTAAGTGGACTGTGATACCATGTAGTTTTGGAAAAATTACAATATTTTCTTCTTATATTACAAGCCTACGGATTGTGTTTAAATATATAATTTGTTTCCTTATTAATAGGAAACTGATCTCTGCAAAATAGAAAACTTATCCAACTAAGCTATAGCCGTAATTATCTAAACCCCAAGGATTAAGAAACAAAAGGTAGTAATAAGTGAAAGTACCACCAGGATGATGATATAACAAAAATTATAACCAAAAAGCAGGAAAAAAGAGTTTTTGTAATTTGAAGTATATCATTCGACTAATCCTTGATCAGAATAAGCTCAAAGATAACAGAAAAGGTTCTTTTTGTATCCAATCTGCCGACCAAATTTAATATACAAATCGACAAGATATGTCTACCTATTCAAGAAGGACTCATAAAGTTCATGCAATATTTGCTTTCATCTATGATACAGATTACAGAATAATGGACAAGGAGTTTATAACAGTTTAGAAGACCTTAATACAAGGACTAACTCATTGAATATGCTAGAGAGGTGCTAGTTGGTATGAAGTGACAACTGACATGATATCTCAAAACTTAAACCAGAAGCAAAACTCTAATTCATAGCAACTAAAAGATGATGCATACAAATTCAAAGAGAGTAGGTACAAACTCAAAAGCACATGAAACTAAAAGAGGGCTAAGCATTTAAAAAGATGATACAAGCAAATTCAACAAACATATGAAGATATATGCCTAAAAGATGTTATTTTTTCTCATTAATAGAAGACATATAATATTGCAATGCGCTACTAGGGTGATCATGTTATAAACTTACAGCAAAGGAACGCATTGCATAGTAGTTTCCTCTAAATCTATCTGGATCCATCAGACCACATAACATTCTTTTAAATGCATTTGGAACCTCGAAAACTTTCTGCTGAAAGGTAACAAAAAATAGAAAAGAAGCATAAATGAGTTAGATATGCCGAGTAAGGAGTGAGTGTATTTTTAGGCAGATAGCCCAAAAGAAAAGAAAGAAAAGGCTGACGGATAAAGGAAAGTAAACTAATTAAGAGGGAGGGAACTGTAGCACAAATCAGGAAGCTCACTACCATACATGGGAAAGAGGTATCATGTAAACCTACCTGTATGACACCACTAACACCACCCTGGAAAAGACGGTTATATCTCTGCACATTTTTTAGGACCTCAACGATTTCCACTTCGTGCATAATGAGTAAAGATGCCTCTGGTGTCAACTTACTAATGGGGCGTGCACAAATTGGGCAGTTGCATTTTTGAAGAACTGATCTATAGGTCCAGAATTGTAATATGCAATTGGCTGTACATGGAAAAGCAAAATATTGTTATCGAAAGTAATTTCGACTCCAAACTTGGCAAATTCCAAATGAATACAGCACTAAAATCTATCAGAGGTACTAACTCTCAGAATCCATATTTAAAAAACAAAATCCTCATTAACCACAAACATCGCATCTGAAAAAGATTATAGACAACATGCACATTTTCCTACATTCTCCCCAGGAATCACAGAAAGAAAAGAAAACAAGAAAATGTTGAAAGTAGATTAAGGAAAACTAATTGGGTTGTGTAATAAATAGAACAATCTGTCAGCTGGCACCCAATGAACTTTTTAGCAGTACAATTGATTGCCATTCAGTTGAAATAACGAAACCCAACAAATTTAAATAGGACCAAACAATAATTAAAGATTTATATTGACGAGTTGATTTTTATGGGAATGATATGATATAGTAAACCCTTCAAAAACCATGACAGCAAAATATAAAGAAATGATCGACAAAGTTCTTTGTTGGATCAAAAGCTTATGCAGATTATTAAAGATAAACATTGCATACAATGGGAAATCAAAACGGGGAAGCCAACATGTTAACCATGGAAAGGGGTATGAAGTAAACCCTTGAAAAACCATGAATATCGGAAAAAGAAAGAAACTATCAGAAAACTTGTAGAAAATTTTACCACAAAACCAGTGCCCACAGTTTGTTTTACAGGCAATTGAGAAATTCTCAAAGCAGATCGGGCAGCAATCATCGTCGGGAGGAGTATCTCCTCCATCCCTCTTCCTCTCCGAAACAACCAATAACATAGACTTTGAGCTTTCCTCTTCCTCCTCCTCCTCCTCCTCCTCCTCCTCCTCCACCTCCTCCGGTCCTCCAACATGATCTAAACTAGGGTTTTCTTTTTCAGCAACTTCACCCACAGGGTTTTCATCTCTCTCATCAACCTCAGAACCATGATCATCATCAAGATGCCACCGTGAGCCTCCTCCTTCATTTCCCTCAACAACAACATCATCATTGTAAGGTTCTTCAATCTTTCTTTTCCTCTTTCTGAGCAGAAACAAAACCGTCTTCCACTTCCTCTTCCTGACCTGAAAATTAGGGTTTCTGATCATCGTTTTTCGTTATGAAATCTTTGAAGAAAACCGTGATGGAAAGACTAGAAAAAGAAGACACAAGAAGTTAAGGTTTGTTGCGATTATGATGAAGACAAAGCCGGCAATTGCACGGAAAATTCATAAATTGGACGGATCCTTTCCGTTTTCATTATTTGGTGGTTTTCTCTCACTCCCGCCGACACGTAATCAATCCGGTGGGTCCCCTCCGATCGTATCCGTCTTTGGATAAATAATTAAGAGCAAATTACGGATTTCATCCACATGGTATGCCTTTTCTTTATCATGGATTTGATTTTTATAGTAAATATTTTTTGTTGGATTCATTCATTCAATCTAAAATCTTTCAAATGATGGTACCGTTTGACTAAGAAAATGATACTAACATTATTTAGACTTGGGTGTGGGTGGAATAAAAGCCTTGCAAATCAATTCTACTAAATAAAATTTGTTTTCATTGTAGTTTCAAAATACATACGGTGACACACAACAAATCAATACGGTTGCACTATTCACGAAACCTAAATTTTTTACCCTTCGACGGAGAAACGATACGATGGCACGTGCCATCCATGGCACTTAACTAGATCTGTTTATGCCAAATTGAACTGGTGATTGTTGTTACACTGAAAGCCGTTGCACCAGGTGTTAAAGCAGATAAGAGGGCATGACATACATATGGTGAGTTACAACAATGGTTAAATTTTTTAAATAAAAAATGAATCTTTATGAACAATGTGGATATCATTTGATCGTCTACCAGTTTACTTAGGGGCTGTTTACTAAACACTTGTTTGGTAAGTATTTACCGGATAAATTTCCTCATTGGATGAACATGAAAAGGGTCAAAAATCTTATTGGGTAAGAGCGATGAGAATGATGGAGAGTCTTACCCGGTAAGTAAGGATGACGTCTCTTACCCAAGTAAATGTTTACCCACTAAATTGTTGCATTCGATATGTTTTAATATACTAAAATCTTACGCATCAAAATAAATCATAGTGTTGACTCCTATCGGTAAGCGCTTACCGGGTAAGCAATTAGGTAAACAGTCCCTTTGGGTCTTTTTTCATTTTTCATTTTTTAAAACGTTCTTTTAATTAACCTTTTTAAATTATAGATGGAAATGTATAGAATAAAACTAAAGGCCAAACACAAACATAAATCTAGAAAGCAAATATCAAGTAGGCATGGGACCCGACCCGTAGGGGAACCCGGTCCATCCGCCTTGGTCGGAGACAGGGATCCCCGTTTGTCTCAAACTGAGATGGGGATGGGTATCATACTCTCCGTCCCGTACCCGTTATATGTATTAATTAATAAAAATATATATATTTATACACACACATATATATGTGTGTGTTATTTATTTCAACTAAAGCGGTAACTAGAAATTCATTATTTCTTATTTCTTAACTAGGTTTATAATCTAAAATTGTTATTTTTTGGATGTTAATATGTAATAATTTGGATGTCAAGTCAAAATACAATTACTCAATAAGTTTTGTATATTACTCGATATGGTTTTATATTACTCAATATCTTTTGGTACATGTGACTTCAAGTTTTTTTTGGATTAAATTGATTTTTTTTGTTATAGGTTATTAATTCTTCCATGATGTTGTGATTTTTTTGTATTAAATTAAATTCATTTTGGCTTTAGGTTTATTGAAAATGTTTGAAATTTAAACATGTATGGTCTCTCACATATTTAATTTAAAATGACTTACATAAACGAGAAAAAATCCCCGTTTCCTGTTGGGGATGGGGATGTGATTATATCTCCCGACGAGGATGGGGACGGGGATAGAGATAAATAATCGGGGACAGGGACGGGGATTGAGGTCCCCGCCCCCATTCGCATGCCTAATATCAAGTAGTGAAGGAACTTAAGTTACAAATTAATTGCAAAAATGCAAGTAAAGAAAGCAAGTATCAAGTAGTTAAGGAAATTAAGTTACAAACTAATTGCAAAAATGCAAGTGTAAATAATCCAAGTATTCAATCTAATAATCTTGGCCACCAAACGAAGTGTTTAATGCCTTGAGTCAATTCTAAGCTTCCCAAAAATCAAGGTAAATTCAGCCATAGAGGCTTAAAATACAAACCAATCAGTTGGTCATACAGCTTTCTCATAGGATTACCTTGACAGCAACAGCATAGCTTCCTCATAGGATTACCTTGCAGGATCATATAGGATTGGTTCAGGATTAACATATTAGACTTTTAAAGCTAAATTAAAGCATAAACGAGACGAATTACTAAAGACTTGCACATGACTCGATGAGTGTAAAATAAGAAAATAAAGAGACTCGAGAGGTTAAATTGGGCAAATAAAAGATATACGAAAGATGTAAATAGTGGTGTTTTAGGGTTAATAAATCAACACCTATCATACCCCCAAACTAGAATTGTTGTTTGTCTCCAAGCAATTAAAATGACAAATCAAAGACTCAAAACTTAAAGAAAATGGACTCGTTTGAACGATAACCACAATATGCACAATTATGGATTTTTGGGAAATGTTCCATGCTCAAGAAAACTGATGCCAATAGCTCTTCATAAACTCAATTTCCTTACTTAAGTTCAAGATTGCACCATCACAAACTATCCTAGATTACATTTGCTAACTAGAGTCATCATGGCATTAGCATTTGAAATGAGAATGCATTTGGCTTTTTCTTCTTTTGAAATGTTGTGCCTTTTACCATAATCTCACTTTTTCTCTCAATGGCACAATTTTGCTGTCACTCATCTCATATGAGGTAAAAAAAATTGGACACTTCGGGCTCTTTTGAATTTTGATGTCTTTGGTGCAGTGGATAGAGCTACGCTCTTTTGGACTCTTTGGTCACTTTCCTTTTGGTACACAAGTGAGGTTGATGTTGATCAAATAGTTGGGGAATGGTTGCAACTTTCTAAGAGCAGCAAGGTTATCGATCTCCGGTTCCTCTCTCCACAGGCTGTCCCTTTGCTCTTCATATTGCAACCATTTGATCATTTCTTCTTTCATCTCCTTCAAACTATCTTTCAGATCCTTAGGTTGTTGTTCCTATATCTTGGTTTTTCTTTTGAAGCCCCCTAATCAACCTAGCTTGCTCCAAGAGGCATTCTTTGATGTCGAAAACAACCTAGAACTGTCTTCATTGTTGGCTAGTGGGGCATTGGTATTGTTATTGTACAGCCTTTGAAGGTTTTTCTTATCCATAATTATTTTGTCTGTGGGGAACTCATCTATGGGTAGTGTGACGGCATTGGCTTCTAGCAAGAGATTATGAATGATGACAGGATATAGAATTCTGCCATTGGACCTATCCACACTACTCCTAATGTTGTTACAAACCAATTTCCCCACATTGACAAGTTTACCTTACAAGATGCAACACAACAAGAATACTCTATCCATGCATAAATTGGTTCTAAGGGTTCTAGATCTACCCTTCATAAACCATGTAGCCCCTTCATGTGATATTCTAGCTAAAACCACCTCGAGCTCTTCATCAGTGGCTCCTACCATTAGTCTATCAAACTCGGAGATGGCAGGAGGTGTCAATCCCAACAATGTATTGATATTTTTACTTGAGTAACAAATAGGCTTTTGCCTAGCCATAAGTTCTATACCATCTGTAACAAACACCTCAACATAAAAATCCCTTACCCAACATAAATTATAGACATCTGGGACTGTACACAGCTTTTCCCAACCTAAACTCTCAATCACAGATCTAATTTCAGGATAAGTGGCTACACTATGTGATTGTAATCCATTGGGAGTTTGTCCCAATCTTTCAGCAAACAAGGCATGCTTTCTTAATCCCAATTGGCAGCTAGACAAATCATCATGAGACGGGAAGGAAGAACTTTTACCTTCTTTAACAGTGCTAGTACTCTAAGCTTGTTGAGGTCGATCTTCCACTCTAGTTCTCTACCTTGTGATTCAATGGTACGACCAACCCCCTTGTTGATAAGCTGAATGAACTTTCTTTTCTGCCCCTTTTTCTAATCTTTACAGATCTTCAGGGATGGGTTGGACAGTGTTCAATGGGTCTAGATCGGTGTCAAAAGAGGTCTTGTTTTGAGGAATAAAGTGATCATCCTCATGATTAGTTGGAGTAAGGCTAGGAACAGTTGGGCTAAGGGTTCTTCCAATACTGTGGAATCTAACACCAATGCTACAACGTGGTACCTCATGGACTATGAAAGGAACATTTAAATCAGGAGTATATGAGATTTTTATACCTCTTGATGAAATGGAAGCAACCGTGGCAATATTTGGCACATCCATGGTGGGTTGAAGTTGAGGCTTGATGCGACTTCATGTGCTCCAATGGCGTCTGCGAGCATGTGAATTGGGGTTTGAAATCTCACCAGTTGTTCGAATCGCAGAAGGCAACTTTGATGGAGAGGAAGAACAAGAGTCGCTCTTATCTGAGATTGAAATCACAGGTGGTGGTCACTGTTTGTGAACGTATCGAGCCTTGACTTGGTGTGATCCTTCATGAAACAGGTTGGCTTGGTGCATGGTTGGGGGCATCGACTTCGAGTGTGGAAGGTTCTTCTTCTTGCCCTGGATTTTGTGATCCCCGTGGCGATTAGGATTTTAACCCAATTTTCGTAAATCTAAAATTTAAACATGAATAAGTTATACAGCCTGTTTGTAGTATGCATTAATAAATAATATTTTATACATAAAAAATAATTTTTAATAGTTTTTATCAAATATTTTAAGATAATTTATGCAAAACTAAATTTCTTTGTTTGCTCATAATAGGCTCAAAAAATAGATTTATAAATGGTCAAAAATAATTAAACTACTTAAATTATTTACATCAGGACAATAAAAATATTTACAATAAATTTGTGCCGCCCTAAAATATTTATGATTTTCATTTTTATCAAAATAACAACCTCGGGAGGTTGTTGTAGACTTGCCAAGTGATTGAAATGGTTTTACTCTCTATCGATTCACGTTAAAAGTGGTACCATTTTTTTGATCAATCAGTTCAACAATACCATGTGGGTACACTTTGACAATCTGGTATTAGGGGTGCTCAAAAACCCGATGAACCCGACCAACCCAACC